CGGACAACAGCAGCAACACCACCCTGGACTCTCTGCTCCGTGGGGAAGACTGGGGGGGGGGGGGGGGGGGCTGACCTTGACCTTGGTGGTGAGAATCAGGGACCCGCCACTTGCATGAGTGCAGTCAGTCATAGGAAGCGCCCCTGCCAGGCCCCATTAGCATTACAAGAGGCAGGAATCGGACCATAACCTCATTACAGACTCTGCCCAGGGTGCACCAGCCAGGGTGGAATGTCAACGGGAAAGTGCTGTCCTGAGACGCTACAGCCGAGGCCTGAGCTGGGAACTCCAGGCCTGCAGTGACTTCCAGGGAAGCTCCTCCGGGAAACGGAGCCCGCCCCGGCCCCTGCAGCACCACACCTGCAGCGGGCTGGCCTCCTGGGGCCTCGCCTCCCCGCCGCCGGGGGCACCCTGCCTGCACCGATGCAGTGCCCAGCCTGTTCCCTCACAGCCTCGGTGAAAGCAACTGCGGAGACCCCAACGGGGCGTGTTCCTACAGCTGTATTCCTACAGCTCCTCACATACTAGCCTGTAGCATCACCGTGCACGCGGGTGCCAGAAAACTGGGGCAAAGAGGGGTGAAACAACATGCCCAAGACCAGAGCGATGGGAAGGGGCAGAGGCAAAGGCAGGCAGGCAGGCAGGCATGCTGTCAATGCCTTTGTAAGTGAAGAAAGCAACTCTGTCGCATAATTTAATTATATACTGTTACATCCACAGGGGCTCCGGGTCCCTCTCCTCCCAGCCCACTCCATGGCAATGCACCTTTCCTGCAGAAAATCACAATTTCCCCTTGTCTTCTGTTTATACCACAGTTAAAATATAATTAAAAGGATTCAGCAAATTACTGGATGCAAATCACAAACACCTACCAAGCAGGATTTTCCCACATGGATAGAAGTGCACAGAAGATGCATCGCTCCTTCAGTCTACCCCAGAGTTAAGAGGCTGGGGAAAGAACATCCAGAAATTTCTGTAGCCTGGCGTCAATGCAAAGCGTGCTTCCCTGCCGTCCCCGCCTCTTGTGCCCCAAGAAAGGCAGGAGGACCGACTTCTCCCCACGGGCCTCCCTTCCACCCGCGGCCGGTGCTGAAATACTGTCCAGGATAATAACCTCATTTCCCTCCACAGTGGCTGGGTTCTTGGCTTCTCTGTTTTTGCTCATGAGGAGAATTAAAATTCTTTCTCATGTGTAGATACAAGAAATGCTTGATAGATCTGCCCCTAAAAAACACCTGAAGCTGGAAAATTGATTTGCAGTAAAAAGTTCTTCTGGTTGTTCTGTGGGAACTGCAGCCTGCGCGTCACAGTCAGGCGAGCAGGTTGGTCATATTCTCAGTCAAAGTCACACCTCATGCACACAAAAATACATATGCATGTGATTTGAATATGACATTTTAAAAAATAAACCTTGATTTTTATCGCCATATCTGACTATTCAAATTTTGCAGGAATACTTTTTTTTTATTGCACTTGAAATATTGACTATTTCTAATCATAAATTTTAGCCCAAACAAATCTGGCTGGAGGCAGCTGGTATTTTGACAAACTGAAAAATGTATGTCAACCTTCCCTAACAATGACAGGCAAATTTTGAGAAAAGCTGGCTAATTTTGGACACTGTCATGATAGAGGGTTTTATTCTGAGACAAGGTTTGTGCACTTAGTGATGGGAATTCATCCTGGAAAATGAAGTGGTCTCAGCAGAGCTAAAACTGGGTCCTATAAGTTCCAACGAGTCTGAGGCCAGGGGTCAAGTTCATTTCCTACACCACAGCCCGCACTAGCATTAAAATTGGCATGGTCATCCAGCAACAAAATTTTCTCATGTTATTAAACAGGACACTAAAATTCAAGACATCGCGTGTTCTGTTTGCTTTGTTTCATGTCTAGATACTTCTTTTTTAAGATTTATTTATTTATGCGTACAAGAGCTGGGGTACAGGCCAGAGATGTGGGGGGGTGAGAGGATTCACCAGAGACAGAGTGGGGAGCAGAACAGGCAGATCCACTGAAATCCACTGCTGAGGGAGCAGCAGGTGAGACAGGAGAGGTCTGCTGCGCCATGTGGGTTGCTCCCTGGCAGGCCGGGGATCGAACTCGTGCTGCAGAGGCTGCGGATTGATTCACAGTGCGGTGCTTAACCCCCTGTGCCGCCAGGGAGGCCCAATGTCTAGACATTTCTTAATAAATATGGAGTTAAAGCTGTTTGGTAGCTTTTTGTAAACTATAATTTTTATAGTCTTTATAAACTGTAACTTTTTCTGTAGAAAGCAGTCAGCGAAGCTAGATGGTGCAGTGTCAATGCAGGATTTATTTTTACCATCCAGTAAAGATACTTGGAGGAATAGTTACACCTTCCTGCTGATACAGAATCACAGGCTGAAATTAAGTGGCGTCAGCTTGTGAATAATGTCCATTGGGAAAACAGGTAAATAAAAAGTTTACTTTCTCCTTTGTAGTAGATATTTCCAATCACTACATACAAAGGCGAGAGCAAACTGCAAAATCCACCACGCAGTGCGAGCATTCTGTGACCCACATGTTCCAGAAGACTAGGGCCGTGCTTTGAGAAAATTGCCAGACTTCTGGTGCTACACGAGCTGATAGGAGTCTCACGGAAATCAGAACCCGGCAGATTTATGGAAAGAAGGAATCGGTCCAAGATTTCAGGCAGCAAAAATAGATGAGCCCAGCTCCCGAATTACATCAGCGCCTCACTATTCTGCACAGGGCTCGAAGGTGGAAACCTGGGCCTGCCCCAAGCAGCTATTTCCATCCCCAGAGGCAGCTCTCTCCCCCACTCTGGCATCTGCCCTGAGAGCGCACACGCTCAGCTCCGTCTGAGAGAGGAAGCACCCACTCCCCGTGAGCACGGCCCATCTTCCACGCCCGCCCCCGCCATCTTTGACTCTGATGGAGAACATTCTGAGGAAGGGAGACACGGCTTACGATATTACTAGAAGCAAAACCCACATGAGCTGGGGCTCAGAGCTGCTCCCGTCCCTCCTCTGGCCTCAGGCCCATCCCTCCCACAGGCCCCCAGGCCAAGCGGCCCTGCAGCCCGAGCAGCCACCTGCAGGTGGCCCTTCCACCAGACTGACTCAGCTCCCCTGCTTCTAGAACATTTCCGCACGGTTCACCACCTGGAGGGAGTCACACAGCAGTCAGACCAGGCACCGCGCAGAGCACGGAACAGGGTCCAAACCTCTGTTTCCGAACCTCACCTAGAGCGACAGTCGTGGAGTGGGGAGTGCCCACTCGTGCTTAAGAGGACTGAGCCGAATGCCAGGGAAACGCGGGCACCACCGCTGGATGGTGGAAAACCGAGGATGCCTGAATCAAGTGTTTCCGGGGCTGGCAGGCGAGATGGAACAGAGAGGCGTGTGTAAGGAAACACGCAAAGGCCAAAGACAAGTCAGAGAAGCTGCTTCAGGCGCCTCTGCAGACTCTCTGCCGACTCTCTGACCTGCTGCTGCAGAACATCTGTATGGACAGAACATCTGTGTCTAGGAGGTTTAAGGAAAGGGCACCCTTATCACGGAAAGCAGAGTGGCGAGTGTCGGGGAGGAAACTCACACTCGGCTTTGAGTATATTAATGGCACTATAAATAGACCATCACCTGCTCCTCCTCCCCATTTAGAAGAGAACAAGCTAGAACAGGCTTGAATTACAGATTCCTCAGACTCGCAAGCAGCAATGTCCTCGCAGAACAGATTTCCAGAGCGACACAGCCGTGTGCGGTCCCCGCAGGCAGAGGGGCAGAGGGAGGCGCCCGGAGAGCCGCGGGCCCACCAGGCGCGCACAGGTCTCTCTCCGGTCCTTTCTGCTCCTAGAAGTGAAGCAGGGGACGGGGCTCCCGGGAGCCAGGGGCTGGCTCGCCTGCGGTGAGGGCGCCCTGAGCTCAGCCCCCAGGCCGGCGCTGAGAGGTGCCCTCTGCTCTGCACCGCCAGGGCCGCCCTGTGCTGGGCAGCCCCAGGGCCCGCTCCATTTTCTGTTCGCCCTTCCCCAATTCCAGCACCAGGCAGCACCTCCCCAGCAACGTGGCGGCCGAAAATTACGCTTTTAAGAGCGCCATGATGACAACAAGTTTCCCATGCATGACCCGCGGGCCCGCCTGGCCCCGGGCACCAGACCCGACTGCGCGAGGCAGGGCTGTGCCATGCGCACTTGCGGGCGGCGGAGCGCAGCCCGGCTTCCCGGGGACGGGGGGAGCAGCTGCGCTTCAGACTCCCAGCTCAGAAACCGCGCGTCGCTGGGGAACACACCCCCAGACCAGACCCCGACCCCGGTAGCTCCCGGGGTCACCGAGCCTCGCGCAGCACCCGCATCCACACCTCCGAGGCGGTGCAAAAGTTTGCGCCGCGGGGAGACGAGGAGCAGGAAGTTTACCGCCATCTACAGCCTCCCCGGCCGCTCGGAGGGCGCCGGGTCCCGGCTGGAGAGAGGGAGGTTGGCGATGGCGAAGTGACACCAGCCGGCGGGCGCGGCGCGCGCGCGAAGAGACCCCCCGGCGCCCCGCGGGGAGCCGCCCACGCGCCCGGCCCTTCCAGGAGCGGCGCGGCCGCGCGCCCCGAAAGGCTTCTGCCCAGGGCCGGGCGACGGCTCCCGCGGGACCCCGCGTCCCCCGGGGCGCCGGGCACACGCGCGGGCCGGGCAGGGCGTGCGCGGCGCGTGCCCTTCTGCTCGCCGGGGCGCCTCTCCCGGGCAGGCCTCGGGCCCGCGGGGGGCAGTCCCGGCGCCGGCGGCGCGGGGCGGGGGGGGCGCGGGCGGCCGCGGGGCAGCGCGCGGGGAGGCAGCGGCTCCCGCCCCGCGGCCCCCGGCGGGCGCCGGGGCAACTTCTCGCGGGCGGAACCCGCGGGCAAACTTTGGTCCGGCCGCGGCCGCGACCCGAGCCAGGCCCTGGGCGCGGGGCGGGCGCCGGGGCGGGGGCGCGGGCCGGGGGCGGGGGCCGGGGGCGCGGGGCCGGGGCCGGGGCGGGGGCGCGGGGGCCACTCACCAGGCGCAGCGCGAAGAAGACGGCGAGCAGCGCGAGGCAGGCGCCCATGACGATGAGCAGCAGGAAGACGATGAGCGGGTGCTGCTGGCTCATGCAGTAGTAGGACTCGTACAGCCAGTCCCGGGACCGCAGCCGCCCGCCGCCCGCCGCCCCGGCGCGGTCCCGCAGGTAGCGGCGGCGCCGCATCGCCTCCTGCCACATCGGGGCGGCTCGCGGGGCGCCGCCGAGCGCGCCCGGCCGGGGCCGCCGCCCGCTCCACCCGCGCCCGGCCGCCGGCTGCCCGCGCGGAGCTGCGCGCTGGGGCTCGGCGGGCGGAGCGCGCGCCCCGGGCTGGGCGCAGACGCGGGGGGGCGGGCGGCGGCCTCGGGGGCAGCTCCCGGCGGCGCCGCAGCCGCCAGCGCGCCGAGGGGCGGGCGCGCCCGGGGGCCTGGGCCCGCCCCCCGCCCCCGCCCCGCCCCGCCCCCCCGCGCCGCCCGCCCCCGCCCCCCGCGCCGCCCCCGGCGCCGCCCCCGCCCCCCGACGGCCCGGCCGCGCCGGGGGGGGCCCGCGGCCTGCGGGGGGCGGCGCGCTCGCGGGCGCGGGGCGGGGGCGCGGGCGCGGGCGGGGGCGGGGGGCGCACGGGCCGCGCCCCAGCTCGCGCGGCGCCGCCCTCGGCCCTCCCACTCCCCGGCCGGGCGCGGCCACCTGGTCTCCGCGGTCGCCCCGCGGCCCGGGAAGGGGGTGCTCCCGCTCTGCCCCCCGCCCCGCGCGGGGACTGCGGGGGCGCCAACCTCCTCTCCATGCTCCGCGCGCCGGTCCCCGACCTCCCGTGGGCCGCGCCGGGTGCGGGGGCGGGGGGTACCCCCACTCCTCGCCACCGCCTCGGGGGGCAGCCGGAGGACATCTCGCACCCCTCGGTACCCCTACGAGGAGGACAGCAGGGACCCTGTGTGGGGGCGCAGGAGGGGCGCCCTGCCTCTCCGTCCCCCACCGGGAGGCCAGGGGTTCCCATCTCTGCTCGGGCTCCCGCAGCTGAAGTGGGGGCACACACCCCTCCCCGCTAGCTCAGGCCTGGCTGCGGGGACACCCTCCCGGCGCAGCACCCCCAGCAGAGGGAATGGTGGAGGGGGGTGGCGCTGCACCCCGCCGAGTCCTGGGCTCAGCAGCCTGGCTTGCGCCTGGCACATCCTCTGAAGTCACGATTTGGAGGTTCCCATGGGGGGGCGAGGCTTCCCTCCAGGAGACAGACCAGGGTCAAGGCGCCCACCGAGCCCCTCCAGCCCCGTGGGTGGTGAGGACGCCAGGGGAGCGGGGCTGGGCCCTGGAACCCCGGGTAGGCGCTGGGACGCCCCCAGGTCTCCCTTGGGGTCCTGAGCACCTGGGGAGCAGGCGACCCTGTTGGGGACGGGGAGAGGCGGCCCGTCCCCCACACACTCTGGCCTGCTCTGGGCCCGGAGCCTCCGCGCGCCCACCCCGCGGGAGGGTCCCTGCGGTTGGCGTGGACGGAGCCGGGTCCCCCCGCGCTGCTCCCCGCCGGGAACTCCCGTCCGCCCCGCCACCTGCGCGCACCCGCGCCCGGCCCGCGCGCCCCCCCCCCCCCCGCGCCCGGCTGCGCGCCCCTCCCGGGCGGCTCCGCCTGCCGGGCCGGGACCCGGGACCCGAACGTGCGCGCGGACCTGGACCCGGCCCCGCGGGGAGGCGCCGGAGTCTGCGGGTATTTTTAGCAGCAGCCCCTGCGGCGGCCGGGAGTGGCCGGGACGCGCCGGGAGGTCCCGCGGGTGGGCAGGGCGGGCGCGGCCGGACTCTGCGCTCCCGGGGACTCCAGATCCCCGGCCGGGGTGGCTCCCTGAGTCCCACCAGGTCCTGCCCCGACCTGAACGGAGGCAGAGAAGGGGGGAGCGCAGAGGGGAGTGCCCCCCGGGGATCCCCGGGGATCCCGAGGCCGGCGGGGAGATGGCAGCTCCCCTGAGCCGCCCGCGCAGGCGCCCGTCACCCCCTCCCCTCGCCGCACGGGGGACTCGGGACTCCACTCGCAGCCTCTGGGGGTCAGAACCCCACGGGGCGCGTCCTTTCCTGGGGACCAGGACGTGATCCTCTCCCACCGGACCGAGCCTGAGGGCGTCCCCGAGAGCGCCAGGACCGCGGAGACAGCAGGGGGGCGCGTCCCTCGCCGCCCCCCCCCACCCCGGGAAGCCTCGCGTGGAGAGCTGGAGACTGTCCCCCTCCTCGTCCTCTCCGCGGGTCCCCCCTGGAGAGACGTGGGCTTTTCCCGTCTTTCTTTCCCGATTGAACAACAAGCTGATTATTTATCTGATTCTGATCCTGGCAGCTTCTTCGCCCTTTGTATTGATAAACATCTGCCTTCGCCCCCTCAGGCAGGAAGGAAAAGTAAATAATTCGAATTTTAGGTTTAGGGGAAAAAAGCTGAAAGGCTTAGGAGGGAGTACTTACTTTTTTTGCCTTTCTGGTGGGGAAGGGGGTGCTTCTAACAGCTTGTGGTGTAGGCCAAGGGGCCTGAGGCCTTTGCAGGAATTTTCAGTGCACTTTGAGAAGTGGGGGTACAGGAAACCTAGAGCCCAAATCGCCGTCCAGCCCCCCGCCCATACAGTTAAAGCTGCCTCCTCCTGGCCTAAGGCAGCGACTGGACCTCGGTGCAAAACTCCCAAGTCCATCAGGCGTCTCTGCGATTTTGTTGGCTTTCTTTGGGTTGGGTGCTTATTCTGGGGCCCATTTTCCTGTCCCTATAAAATGTAAATTGGTGCCATCACCATCATTCTCTCATGTCTCAGAGTTGCACCAAGCAAGCCTTGTAAAAAGTTCACAGCCATTTCTATTTTGAAAGCAAAAAAATCAGAGTAATAAGCCCCAAGCAGCACAGAGTGGAATGGAAAACACCCCTTAGCACAAAGCCAGGAGCATGAAATACGGGCTCAGTCAGGTAAAGAGACCCCAAGGAGTCCTCAAGGTCATTTCCTCGCCTTTGGGTAGCAGGGTCACCTGGTCCAGGGGTACGGCCCAGAGAGCAAAGGAGCCACTCATAAATTTATTCTACATCAATGTCTTTGTAAGAAGATGCACAAAGAAACCAACTGTGGAAGCACTAACTGGGCCCAAGGGAGGGAAAAAAGAAAAGAATGAGCTTGGGAAGGAGAATTCCTTCATCCTGCAACGCTAGAGGGCAGGCCTCCTGCTGCTGCAGCTGCTGGCCTGCTGGCCGCTGGCCGTGCTCTGCGCTGGAGCCCTGAGGTCGCAGCAGACCCGCTAGCTCGAAGCTTCTGCAAACACCATCTTGAAATTCTTCATGTTTGGCCCACACATCTGTTTCGCCCTGAGCCCTGCGAAACTAAGAGGGGGTCCTGCTTGCACCCCCACCTCCTGCAGACACTGCTCGCGCAGGGACCTGGGTCACCTGGTCATCTTTCACGCACACACCCCTTGGTTCTTATAAAGCTGCTAAGTGATTATGCTGTAGGACAGGCTTTTGAATCAATAGCTTTTGCTTAAAAAAAATAGCCCATCTTCTAGTTCCTGCTCCAGATGCACTTGCATTTGCTCAGTCAATAAGGACGCCGGCTGCTCCTCCCAATGTCACAGGGTCTGGCTGGTGACATAAAGGCAGTGGCCCTCGCCAAGGACAGGCAGATGCGCCAGCCAGAGCCCATTGGACAGGGTCTCCCTGCACATCCTTTCCTCTCTGGCAAATGCATCACTAAAATTTATGTAATAAAATCTGAGCAGTGTGTCAACAGATTCATTGTCGCCCTGAAATCCGTCTTCTGTACCCAGACAGCATTGACATTTGTACTGAACCGGAGTGTGTGACCACACCAGCCACGCTATGGAGAGCTAAAGGTGCCTGGAAGTCTCACGAACCCCTTCCGCTCACCGCAGAACAACCCTTACTTCCGCTTTCAGAGTAAGTTGCCCAGAGTGACATGAATATATTCATTTTCTTTCCCATGTGGAGTCAAATGATCTCTCCATGTCTTTGGAAGTTCTTACTAGTTTGGCTCATTTGATAAAGTATTTCGCAAGTGACAAAATGGAAATAAATATTTCATGGAATCATGTTAGAAATCTGATTTCAGGTGACTTACAGGGATTTGTGGCTCTGAATATGTGGAACATAGCACAGGTGTTTTGAAACAGACCTTCCACGATACCCCTGGCTGTTCTAAAGGTGATTGGAATATTTTTTTAAAGATTTATTTATTTATGTATACAAGAACTGGGGTACAGGCCAGAGGTGCGGGGGGTGAGAGGACTCACCAGAGACAGAGTGGGGAACAGAACAGGCGGACTGACTGAAACACACTGCTGAGGGGAGCAGCGGGCGAGACAGGAGAGGTCTGCTGTGCCCTGTGGGTAGCTCCCTGGGAGGCCGGGGATGGAACTCATGCCTCAGAAGCTGCAGATTGCCCCACTGTGCAGTGCTTAACCCCCTGCGCCACCAGAGAGACCCTGGTTGGAATATTTTTGAAAATCCACTGAGGCCCTGGAATTCCTTCCCTGACCTCGGGGGGGGGGGGAGTGAGAATAGGTAAACAACTAATCCGTTTTCAGGATGTCTACAACCTTGGGAGGGGTGTCGATGGCTCTGCTGTGGCTCCAAGAATATGATCAAAAAACAACGAGTCACAGAGCAGAGACGTGTGGCCTGGGGAGTTTCAGAAAGAGCACCCCACTTAGCGAGCTTCAGCAGCTGATTCAGACAGCTTGATTTGGATTTACAGATGCTTTTAGGTGTACTTAAAATAGTCAGGGAAAGAAATAATTACGCTCTAAAACTGATAAATCCAAAACTTGGAGGGACAAGAAAAAACGTGCATTAACATAGACACTGAAGATGTATTTCTGCTCAAATCCGCCCCCCCCCCAGCCCCGATTCAACTCAGATGACTTAGCTAAAGAATTTAGCCCCCCTACATTGTTTGATTCATGGTTTTATATTTGAGTTTGAAAATAAACCAAATTCACAGCTTGTATTTTCCACACCGTGGTAGTAATAGTCAGTGTTCTAATAACAACATCCTCAAGGTTCTGGATTGTGCCTCACCTCCTGCGTCGACGGCACATCCTCCATCCTCACAAGCAGAAAACACTCTGAGCTTCAGCATTTACCTGCAAAGTTAGAAGAAAGGACTAGTTATCCTAAGTATCTTTCTAACTTATTTATACTATGCTGGGCAGGCTAAAGTGGGGGTTTTCATCAACTCTTTTGG